AAAAAAAAAAGAACGTTTGCAAATAGTTGAACAGGTTTCCATGAATATTTTATCTCTATGTTGCACTTTTTATGCAAACACTTTAAAGCACTTTAGAACCATAAAAGAAATTCCACACAGTTCACAAAATCCTTCAAGCCTAATTGCAGTCTTGGTAACAAAACATGCTACTCAAGATACTGTAATTCCATCTGAGCCTCTTGTTGCAATTACTGCTTTGTTACATTCTCAATGTGCATCATTAGGCACAATTCACTGCATAAATTACTGCACTCTACCAGAAAAGCTTCTGTCAGTAATATTTTTGGGGGAGGAACATGTATTCAGAATTCAGAATATTTGCATGAGGCTACTATTTCACAAAGTTCAGTTTTTCAGGTCTGTGCTTTATCAGCCTTTTTTCCTTGAATGTTCTCAAAAGATTGAGCAAAAACACACATGAGTTTAGTAGCATGGAAGAAGCATGTAGATGATGCACCAGCAATATCTTTACCTAAGTTAAGGTTTGTATATAGTATTTGTTCACATATGTTTTTGTAGTTTATTCAGCATTATCTGATTTACCAAAACTATTTCAGCTGTTTTACCACAGCTCAGTGCCATTAGGATATGTATTCCAAGAACTGGGAAACAAAGTACATTCCCAGAGAACTGCATTTATTTTACATATGCTAATTTTGCATACAAAACAAGTCTTACCCAGCTCTAGTTGTTTTATATTCCACCTTAAGGATAGGTTTGCAGGGTTCTGGCTTCTTTCCATCCTTCAGCTGCTTTCCTAAAGTGAATTATTTTCTTATATTAATCTTACAATTTGCCATCATGTTATGGAACTATGAAATTCACTATGCAACTTCCAAAGTAGAACATTCATACAAACATATATTCATCATCTCTGACAATTATAGAGCATGTCTCAGAATAATATCACTAAAGATTTGTTAAAGCTTTCAATACACCAACCCAGAATATGTAGGTTCAGGGCTGAGTGTTGGTTTTTTTTCTTTGTTCGTTTGTTTAAGTGTTGTAGAATATTTGTCTTCAGAGATATAATACTCCCCTAAAAAAAGTTGTTTTAAGTAGCACTGGGAGATTTAAAATTTATCTGCATCCACCATTTTGCAATTAAAATTGATCATACAAGTATAATGAGTTTATTCTGAGTGTTATCCTTAAGCGCTAAGACTTGAATTTGAACATGAACACCAGCTCTTTCTCTACTGTGCACTATTAGCAACTAAAGCTTCTACAGATACAATTTTCCATGGAGCCAGTAGAAATTGAGTATGGTGTAAATATGCATCTTTTCTATCTGAACATTGATAAAGTCTGATACAACTACAAAGTTCTGCAGAAAATTAAATTTTCAGCCCAAAATCAAAATAAAAATGCTTATTAGAGACCAAAGCATACTAAAATAAAATTAGTCTTGTCTAACTAGTTTCAGTACTACAGTAGGAGTCAGGTTTTTATTTTTTGACTGCTACAGGACTATACAGAAATCCACAGCTTCCTTTGTCCACTCCAGTTCACAGCCAGCACAGTAAAGATGGGCTTGCTGGGGGCTCAGACAGGTAAACCAGGATGCTTAACAACTGTAACCTCTCAGATTATGCTCACTGTTACATTCACACTTAAGAATCTGAGGTAAATAAGTTGCTAAGATATGACTTAGGCACATTCACACCATGTAAACCTGGCATTTGTATAGAACCTTTTAAAGAGCAGCAACATATTTCACAGAAAAACAACATGTAATGTTAATTTCCTAGATTAACATTAATGCAAGACTTCTGAGAAGTGAGAACATCTTACCCAAATGCTAGTCTTGCTCTGTTACAAACCTTTCCAAGAATGTATATGGTAATCTACACATTTATATATGAAACAGATGCTTGCTTATATGTATTTTAAACAACATATGGGATTGTAATGTCAAGCAAAAAGCAAGCCCTGCAAAATATGCACTAGTTAATTTTGAGATCAATGCCATTGTGTGAAAGGTGGGCTTAACTTTCAAGATTTAGACGAAAGTGCACTTCAGATTCTTATTTCATAAAGACATTTTATAACAAAATTTATCAGAATTTGATATGACAGAGAAAGTTTTTTACTTGCACTGCAAGTGCATTTTTAATACACGGTTTTGCAAAACACAGTGCTATTAAAAATAAGTCTTCTGTTTTCAGAGCTGTCAAACACAGCGGGTATCCATTTTCATCTTACCGTGTGGAGTGATTGTCTGGAATGGTTTGGTAGGAGATTTTACGTTCCATATAGTCAAGGTACCGTCTGAATGACTACAAATAAATTGTTTTCCTTCATGATGCCAAGCTACGGAGTGGATAGCCTATGCAAGAAAAGAGAAAAAAACCAGAACTGTGTAAGTTAAGTACCTTAGCATCATCTTATCCTTACTCCTTCCTCAATGACAGTAGACAGCAAAAGGAAATTAGAGAAAGTACTAATTAAATCATACTGCTCTTAGTATGTCCTAATTTACCCAAGGTAAGTTTGCCATTCATAAGTACTTCTTTCAGACGTACTTTATCTGTCAAAAATACTGTCTTCATTGTCATGACATGTTTAAGGGGAAAAAAAGATCCTCCTCAGTGTAGTATTAAAGTATTTTTCAACAATGGGTAGCATGCAGAGAATATCTGCAAGCATTTACTCCAGTTTTGCTAACCAAAATTTCTTATTACTGGGAAAAATAGTGTCCGTTCAAAATATATCTACTTGACGGGATTATTAAGTCAAAGTTTTAAATGGTATTTTGAGATGTCTATGTGAATACGCACAAGAGGCAAGTATGAGCTGAGAACATAAGTAAAACGAGAATTGAAGTAATAAGATTTTTTGGAAATTAGGATGAATGATGATGATGCAAACAAAATATTAGCTTCAACAAGCAATCTAATGTTGCATTTGCAGTTTTGAGGTACAGGAAAGTGTAGGAATCTACTAGTAAATCTTTCCATGAATACAGAAACATCTTTATATTCATAAAATTAAGAATGGAATGATTAAGCCATGCCACATGAAATCTTACTGCAGAAAAAAGCTGACAAAATGAAATCTAGTTGCTGCCTTAAGGCAAGGGGAAAGTAAACAATGAAGCGTAGAGTACAAATAAGGCAAAGAGATTAACTAGTAAGAAAAGATTAGTGCCATTTCTGTTTCCAGTATCTGTGTTAGTACATGAAGACATTATGAAACCATTAAGTGATGTTCAAAGGAATTCTAGTTATAGCATGAAAATACCAATAAACAATGAAAACCCAAAGTATTCCTCTACTACCCAAAAGGTGTAGAAGGAAGCATTACCTGCTAGAAGCATGGAACTTCGATATTACTGAGAAGGTAGATTTGCTTAATAATTATGGTAAAGACATTCCTCTAGGTAAACTGAAAGCAGGATCGGAATATGTGAAAGCTGATGAGCTGTACAATACCGTCTTTTGAGTGGATACCCTCAGTAGAAATTCTGTCTGTAAGCTGGGCTTGGACTCACTCCAGCTCCTCAGGTACCTTGGGATTTCCTCTGTGAGGAAACCTGAGTGTGAGAGTAGTAGGGAGCCCTAACTAGCAGTGAAAGCTTAGGCAGTAAATTACTAGGTGAAGAGCAAATCACACAAGACAGTTCTAAGATAGCTTTGCCTAAACTCATTACACATGGATTAGATCTTCACACTTCATAAAATTATACAGAAAAACAAGACAGTTTCCAGCAGTATGACTGGGAGACTCCAGAGATTATACAGCAGAGGAAAATGACTACGCTACATGAGTGTAGAGTGTCCAGTAACAGTTTTTCCAACTTAAAGTACTAGAAGATTCGGGTATCCATAAACTACAGATTAACTAAATTTAGTTATTTCTTATTCAAATTTAATCTTGTTCCCTATGTAGTATGGAATCACCATAGATTTTGTTAGAAGACAGACTCAGTGTACCAATATCACATCTACATGTATGTAGCTCAGAAACTTAAGACATCTCACATGAAGGATCCTACAGTCAAAGTGAAATAGTCTTGCTCATTCTGTCTGTAAGATAAATTTTTATTTAGCAAATAAAAGCAGGTATTATAAAAATTTTTGCATAAATATTGGAAATTTGTTTTTATTTACCAACGTAGTGCCAAACAAAGTCAGCGATAAGCAAGTTTGAAAGTGCAGACTTGGTAAAGCAAAGGCTGCATTTCAAAAAGCTCTTTTCACTGACAAAAGAAGTTACCTATGCTATGATTAGCGATACAATGTAATAAGTATGTTTTAAATTCTCTCCCATGTGTAGTCTAACCCTGAAAACAGTATGCAGCCCATCGTGTAAATGAAAGTTTTTGATACACATTTATGTAGAAATAGGTCTTAAGAACCAGTAAGAAAGCAAGCTTTAATAGAATGAAGGATAAATCTGAGAAATAAACACTTTTCCCTTATCTTGAAAAAGAAGGTCAAGAGGAAGGAAACACAACAAACCCATCACTGTTGAAACAGCATTAATGCTTAAGAACATAAAAATATCTGATAAACTGAGCACAAAGGAGGAGGATGACTGTTATCATTTAATTTCTGCAAGGAACCTGATGGAATGGAAAGAACACTTGAAAGAGAATAATGAGGCCTTTGGCTTTATGGCTATGTATTGTCTAGTTTTATAGAGCATCTGGTTACATTTAGCAATGCAGCTAAGTATTAGTTAAAGCATGACAAAAGTACATGGTTTATGTACTTCTACAATAATCCAACTAACAATTCTGTGGACTGAGTATGATAAACATTGGTACAGAGCACTATCCTTTACTATTACACAATTCACAACTTTCTGTAAGCCTGAAAAATAAAACCAGACTTGTAAGTAGTTGTAGCATAATCTCTAGGTATACAACCTGCTAGTATATCTAGAGTGACAAGTCAGATACAACGGAAAAAGTACTTCTAGAATAATCCAACTAACAATTCCGTGGACTGAGTATGATAACATTGGTACAGAGCACTATCTTTTACTATTACACAATTCACAACTTTCTGTAAGCCTGAAAAATAAAACCAGACTTGTAAGTAGTTGTAGCCTAATCTCTAGGTATACAACCTGCTAGTATATCTAGAGTGACAAGTCAGATACAACGGAAAAAAGTACAGTAACTTTAGGTGGCAGTAATTGGTTGATATGAATAGCCTCAATCACCAAAGCAAAACTCATAACTGAAAAGTCATCCCAATGTACTCAAGAGCACAAGTTTTGACATTTTTTCCATGGTTAATATTAGTGCCAGAATTTGAAGGAAAGCATAACATCCAAGATGGAAAAATCAGGCAGAATCCACTGAGGCTGCAAACCTATACATGGCTTCTTAGATGCTAAAATACCCCTGGGAGTAACATTTTTTTCCATTATGTTACACCAAACTTACTGATCCAGAATAAAACTCTCAAAGTTTTAATCATAATTCTCATCTTGATTTAAAACTTCACCTGGTACCTTTTTGGTACCACAATGCATCAGTATGCTTAAATCAGCTGGTGCCGATTCAACTGTATCTCAGATATTTTTATGGAATATATCACTGGTCATTACAGACAGTAATCTTCCATGACAACATCATGTACTAGGCACAAGAAAGCACTAAAGGTTTCTTATTAAAAAGTATTCCTACTACCTCCTTCACTTTGATTCAAAGTTAAGGTAGCTGTCCTGGACTATATGGAAGTTTGTTTCAAAAGTTCTGAGACAGTTATGTATTTTCGGGGGAGGGGGTCAGGTGGGGAAAAACCAAATCTTACTCTTTTGGAATAAGAAACCCAGTATGACTGACTGTGCTGTCTGACATACCAGAAATGTAGAAACTAACCATCTCAGAGTATTCTGTGGAGACAGGCTGTGCACAAAGGAAGCTTCACTTTGTCCAGCTGTTCCACACGGATTATCCCACGTGGAAAACTGACTGCTATCCTGCCTGCAAAGGTGGTGAACATATCTGATTTTCAGGAGGAGACATTCTTGCAATGACTGCAACAGTTACCTGAGGGAGACAGCGGGACTGTGAAGTGCAATCACATAACTGAGAAAGGAACAAAACTAAAAGCATTTATACGCATGGCTCCTACAGAAATATCTTCAGTAAATCACTAGCTTTTAAAAAGATCAATGCATGTTTAAAAACATTTTATGAAATTCAGTTTTACTGCTGCAAGAGCTTGTCAATATCAATGACAAGCAAAAGCTTGTCAAGCAAACTGGCTTTCTTTTTTAAATAATATGCACCTCCTTGCTTGCTTTTCAAGTATAACACAATCTTTGGTAGAATGTTTCTGCATACTTTCCCACAGGAATACACCAGAATTATGGAGAATTCCTTTCATCGTTCTTTGGATTTGACCATGATTCTTTACTTTGTTGTGCCATTAATTGAGCTTGAAATACACTCTGCATGACTGGTAGGGTCCATGATCCAAGAGTAGTCATTCTGCAAACTGTTTACCATGGTCTATTCAGATTTCACTGTCCTACTATGATAGTCCTCCATTTCCATGGACAGTATTTCCCAGTAAACCTGAATGGATGATGACACTGACTCCTTTTCTACAGGTTTACCAAAATATTCAAAGCAGGCATAGTAACTTGGGACTACCTATGCTAACTCTCTTGTCAACAGTCTAATAAAGAAAGGGGGGGAATGCTGTAAAAGCAAGAGGAAAAAAAAAAGAATGTAGCTACTGAGACTTAAACAGCAATATATCATGAAGATTGTTTTGATGCAACGAAATGTGCAAGTGCCTAATGACTGCATTAACATGCCTTGGTTTCTGGGAAGTCACATAATCAGGGTTGCTTTTTTTTTTTTCCTCCTCCTCTTAATCCCACAGGCTACTTTGACATGTTTTTAATACTGTAGAATAATCTCTTACACTCAGCCATGTACCAGAACATTGAGCCTAAAAATAGTAATCTATAATACATGTGCTGAGTTAATGCTATCAAAGCTTGCTTTAAATGAGAAGAAGCAAAATACTACTTGAAGAATGGATTTTATTAAAAAACTAGTTTTTGTTTTCAGAAGTTGCACTTCAGTTTTTTAGAAGCAAAACTAATAGTTGAGAAATTTCCTTTATTTCTTTCACAGTTGAAAATACAGTATGGGAAATGTTTGCAGCATAAACTGTATTCCACATAAGAAATGCATAACTTTGTTTTTAAGTCCACAATGTTTGAACATAAAAGGCTTAAGAAAGATGCAAAAAGAATTTAGTCTTATTTTTCCACTGAGCCTGCCCAAGACAAAAACGATGTCTTGAGGAAAGGGTTTCAAAGAAACTTGCCAAGGAAAAGTTCATTCACAACTGCAGTTCCATTATGTCACAGAACATTTCCTCCAAATTCTCTGAAAAAAATGTCACATTTGTGCTTTCTTCTAACTACTGTTATAATGAGAAGCATAATGTACTGGACATTCAGGATATAATTTGTAATATAGAAAAGTCAAGAACAAATTCTAACTAAATTCCCTGTTATGAACTAGAATGTTGTGGAGGGAAGAATATGCCAGCAATCAACACTAATACTAATCATCACCTAGATCTGCCTCCCCCAGCCATGGTTAAGCAGAAATATGATTATAGAAGTTTTAGGGGTGGTGGTTGCCCACCCTATAAGCATTCCTGTCCTTGGGCTGAGTGCTCCCAGTGCTCTTGTGCTGCAACTGTCAGCGCAGGGTGCTGGGCAGGCACCCATGTTCAGACAGGAGGAAAGCATGGATAGTGTTCCACTGACCTAGCTTCCAGGCAACAAGTGAAACTGCCCCACCACAACACAGGAATTTGCTTCAAGAAAGCCTCCTAAAGGTCAGGAAATTTGGAATGAAACCAAGCAGGAATCTACAAAGAGATCTATTAGGATTCAGCTTCTTCCCTGAGGAAATCGCATGGGTATCTTTCCACAAATCTGATCACGCAGGAAGCTTAACCCTCATTGTTCCTTAGCAGAGGAAGATCAAAAAGGATGACATTTGGATCCCTTCACACACCTGAAGTTTTCAGTCAAAAAGAGTTGCAGCAAATGATGATGGTGGTAGACTGCACAGCCCTTCAAGTTACATGTGTTAAGACCAACATCAACTACAAAGTGATGAGAGAGGAAGATACTAACCCAATGGCAAAGTTCCTAGCAAGCAGTCTTTACGGTATCAGTGTGTCCGGCCATCCTGTTCATGATGCCTGATGAAGCCTAGTCACCCATTAACAGCCACCATCACTCAGAAGAGAGAAGTGTATTTCACAGCACTGCTACAGGAAGATGACTGCACAGTTGGAGAGGATCCAGATCCAGGGTCCTGACAGCTACATCTTGTGCCTTGATGTCACGCAGAGCTGCAGCTCTGCTGGAGCACCAAGCCCTGCTGATGTCAACCCTGCAACTCCCAGCAGCAACAAAGCTCACACTAAGCAGAGCACTGGAATTCTAATAGGCACAGAACCAGTCATCACCTTTGCAATGACTGGTGATGGTTTTTGAGACTGATGAGACTACACAGTTAACCAGTACCAGGAGAATTGTTTTCAACAGGGTTAGAGACAGAGAATGTTTCCCCAGCGCTAATAAGCAGGCCTGGTTCACCAAACACGGTCCCTCTGTGACCTCCCTGCTACACCCCAGTGATCTGAGATGGCAGAGTGGGGGAGGAAGAAGAGAGACCAGACAGCATTTTCTGTGTCTGATGAGCAGCTCTGCACCAGATCTCAAGGGTGACAAGACCAAAGTTGATCTCTTCCTACTGGTTCTCAGCTCCACACTCAGAAACAGAATAAGCAGCATAGTGTCTACCCGGGGTAAGTTTCTAGAAGCTGCAATAAAACTTAATTAAAGAACAGACTTAATCAACATATGGATGAGTATAATGCATTAGGTAAAAGAAGTCAACATGCTTTTTTGTAAAAGGGTATCACATCCAACAAACCTCGGAAAATGTTAACAAGCATATGGCTAATGGAAACGCCAATTAAGCTGTCTACACAATTTTCAAAGTCTTGCAATGACATCTCTCAAAGAAAACTAAAACCAAACAGACTAGAGATCCTTGAACAGATGAATAATTGGTTAAGGTATCAGGAAGTAAAGCAAGCTAGAATAAATTGATTCGTTCATGGATGAAGGTAATTGGTAGAGACCCTCAGAGATCTGTGCCGCTCAGTTTATTCATAAGTAACTCAGAAAATTAGAACAAGCATATTAAGGTGATAAGTCTGCTGACAGTACCAAAGCACATTCAAGGTAGAAATCAGGGCTCCAGTGAAGAACTGCAGAAAGACTTAAGAATGTAAGTGTGAAGCAACACGTAAATACAACGGACTTTGAGCTGACAATTAATACTGAAGAATGAGACTAGTTTTACAGGAGGTTGTTCCATCTCCTTAATGCTTGCAGCATCAAAAGGCTAATCCAGTATCAAGATCAAGGGAGAAAGAAAAAAACACAAACATAATTATTCCCCATCATAAATCCAGTGTGCTCAGATCTTGAATGTACTATGTCGTTGTCTTTCTCTTTTATAAAACAAGGATAAAATAGAATGGTTAAAAAAAAGAAAGTTAGATAAGAATAAGAAGAATAAGAGGTATAGGAAGAACCTGATTAAAACTGGAAAAAGATGATGGACATACAAGTAAATTTATGAAACAAAGCAACAGAAGGAATTAATTAGGTGCATGCAATGGAACTGGAAGGTAACATACTTTGAGGCTTATACAGACATTTCTGAACACAAAGAAATCCCATTCATATCTGGTCTTCTACTACAGTTCTGACGATTTAAGGCTTAGACTACTTCAGAGAATCCCCCTTCAAAGAAACTCTTCATTGGTAAAACTAACTCACAAGCATGAGTACCGAGCTAGAACCACAACAAAAAAAAACCCAAAAAACAAAACAACACACAAAAAAGCCAACCACACACACCCCCCACCAAATCCTGTCTTGTGAAAAGTTCAGCACAGACCTAAGGAAAACACACCCGCTGTGATACAAGAAACAGGCCTAGCTGGTACTGAACAATGATACAGACATTTTACAATCAATGAAATGTAAGAGACTGATTTTGTTATTTTAAATAAAATGCATCAGCTTGCATATAATGTTGAATGATTTTTCTTAATCAGTCTTTCAAAGAGCCTACATTCTCTCAAGAATCAAGTTTTAAAGAAATAAATGCCATTCAATGCCTTTTTTTCTTTTAAACCTCCCCCAGTTTTATTTCAAACCTTGATCTTATCCTACAAAGAAAAGGTGTGTTTATAGAAATGTCCTAGTGAGACTATTTAGTGGTTTCTTTTTCCCCTCACACTTTTCAGAATGTCAGAGTCCAAATTAGAGAAACTGCTAAATCATCTTGTTTCAACTGGAGCTCTTAACACAGGTGAAAGTCACACTACTCAATAACAGGAAAAAGATCTGAAAGCTTCCTTCCGCCTCCAGCCCCTAAAATTAGTGCCCGCAAAATCCATGCCACCATTCATTGCTTCATGAACTTCAACTCGGTGAACACTTACTCAGTCTGAAGGTTCTATTATTTAAACTATGGCTCCTTTAGAGAAAACTTCCAAGTGCTTGCAACTTCAAAGAGACCTATTTATTGATCCACTGGTAGTCACAGAAGCAGGATAAGAAAAATAGTAAAAATGATACTATGATATCCTCATAGCAAGTAATGCAGATGAAAAATGTTACCTCATCATGTGTGTATCTGTAATCTGCCTTCTTCGACTTCAGATCCCATAATACCACTGTTCCAGACTCAAAGCCAATCAGAAGCTGCAAGAATAAGCAGATATATTAAGTCTTTGTAAGGATAAGCAAAATAATACCATTTGCAATGCCTGTAGTTCTTGCCCCCAAGAGATGCAACATAATACTACATGTAGTAACTGCAAGTAGTTATGAAGACAAGAGTTAGTGAGAAGCAGTGAAGACCTCAACGTTAGACACATTTACTCTGTACTTGTCATTCTCCTAAACTGCCAGCTAATACAGCTGACATTCACAAAAAATTTGAGCAAGTAAATCCCAGCTGACCAACCACAAGTGCCCTGAGTAGCATCCTTTGTATTACAAGTTAGAAAACAATACCTTCCCACACATGCCGTTGTAGTCAAGGATAGAAATCTAAATCAATATGGTATACTGCCGTACCTAGAGGTTTTTCCTGGACAGTCTTTTCAGCATGTTCAGATTTTCAAGGCGTACAGTTATTTCCAGTATGAAAAATAACAGAGAACCACTAAAATACCCTAAAAATATTAGACACATTTCATCTAGTAAAAGTGAATATTAGATTTTTGTTTCCCTCACTACAGCATCAAGTATACTATTATTTTAAATGCTCTTGCTTATCATAAGCTGTATTTTATAATTTTTCTGCTTTAAATATTAGAAAAAAATCACAGTGATTAGAAGGCTAATAGCATGAACAAATTTTAAAAGTGAGTACACAGTAGGTTCTTGCAACCACACAGGTTTTTTCAGTGATATTTTTCTTATGAGAAATAGAAGGAGCATAAGGTCAGATTCTAAAACTGACTGATAGCCTGGTTAATAAACACAGTAATTCTTAAACTTTAATTGACAATAATTAAATATGAGGTGGGGGTGGAATACACCAGAATAAATAGATCATTTGTCTTTTCTGAAGTTACCATAGCTTCATTGCATTCACATTCTAGGGTCCATGATTCTGGAATGTGATTCAAACCTAATTCTACAGAGAAACCCAATGGTTATGCACTCACTGCAGAGAGCTTCATCCCAATGAAAAAAAAAACTCTACTCATGAAATACTCCTTGCTGGACTGAAACCTCACATGTCTAGGATATAAGTTTTCAGCCAGCATGCTATTAAAACATTTAAACCACTGCTGAGACAATGGTGTCATTCCCTTTCTCTTCAGTTTTACCCATACTAACATGTCAAATGAAAAGCAAGTAAACCAAAATATAATATTTCTCCTGAATAAGTGGAACAGTAGTAAGCAAAATTATTTTCTCTCTCCTTGAAGATTCTTCACAAATGGGAGTTCAAAACTCTAGGATATTTCTGAGACATTACATGGCAAAAAGAATAATTCAGAATTTAATTCATCAATCTATTCAATCATTTATGCCTGATTAAGCTAGAGTGGAGTTGTTAATGAAAATCTGTTTTAAGTAACATCAAGGTCTCTCTGGCTAAGTTATAACCATATTCTTGTCAGAGGTCTACACACTTTTGGAAAAGATACATGTAAGACTGCTGTTTTCAAATCCTTCTTTCTTATTTTGCTTTATTCCTACTGTCAAAATTAAGGAAAATCCCTCCTGCTTACTCCTCAGTGTGAGCCAAGGGATCTAAACAAAAGTTGCAGCAGACCACTAAGATTTGCTAAATATCTGAGGCACACAAGGTAAAGATGCTGAAGATCCTTCACAGAGCAGGTGAGCTCTGTGATCCCATCCCAAGACTTGAAGAGGTCCTGCTACCTGAAGCACAGAGTTAGTCTTGCAACTATGACTTAAGGGGGGGAATGTATGATTTGGTACTACAGTAATTGCTGTTATCTAGAGAAGGCATACTAACATTTTATCTCCTTGCTTTCTCTTAATTCACGAAGTCTTCACTGTGAACTAAAGTTATGCCTTCTACGTTGTTTTTACATGAGCCCCATTAGAGATGTCCCAAAGCAAAGCGTAATTAATACCTGTAGATTAACTTCAATAATACAGAAGGAACTCATGACCATTGAGTTCATAGTTAAGTTGTTCTTTGTGGCTGCTATATCACAGGACATAAAAATTATTGTCTCGCGAGGGCTTCAGGAACTTGTACTGTAAGACTTTTTGTCAAGATGAAAAGATTATTATGTTAATACTATCTCAAAAGAAGGAAAAGACAAGTCTAATACATAGCTTTTTCTCACATGTTTTAGTTGAGCTGACTTTTCTGAAGTATCTAGTTGTACTACAGGCCAACTAGGTTTTATGCAATTTATTATAATCTCTAGATGCTGTGTACTAAATAAGAGTATGTCAGACCTCAAATCCCATAAAAACTGCTGCCTTGGATTAGCTAAACTAAAGATGAAGTACACAGTACTCTATATAAATATGCTATATGTTTTCAAATGTTTCTGATTACAAGATGTAATGTGTCCTACAATCATGTCTGTATCTTGCATCATATTATTTTCAGAGCCTAATACTTTGATTTAGTCTTCCTTTATGCTTTCAATGTTGTCCTCATCTACTTAATCCTTCCTTAAAAGCGGTGGTATCTCTACTTTAAAAAAGCTTTGCCTGAAAAAGAACGTATTGAATAGTCTTTAAACATATCCTACCTTTCCTTCATCCATTGGATTGTCACTAATGTGGACAATAGGTCCTGGGTGAGATTTGGACGACCTAAACAAGAAATATTTCCATTTAATTTAAAAAAATGCCCCTGTCCCAAAACTGCATCTCAAAATGATTGCAAGTAATACAGATTCTGCAGATACAGACTCCATGTAAGCAAGTTACTGACATTTCAGCATGGGGTCACTTTTACTTTTATCTTCAAGTCCATAAATACTTTCTATCTATTTTTAGGCAGTTAGTTTCTGTTTTTTTATAAGGAGAGACTTATTTACTGCTTATTCACAACACAGAAAAAAATTGCTACTAGCTTTACAATATCTATCTTAATGTTTATTGTTACAGAATTGACAGAGTTGGATAAAATGTTTATTCTTATGCCGGAAAACGGGTCTTGCCATTACTCATAAACTGCCCAAGCTGGGTATTGTTAAAACACCACAGAGTTAAGACTTTACGTTGACTTCTTGCTATTGAAGAAGACGGACTTAAGAGCTGTGTTTGTTTCAACAGCCTTTGGCAAGTGATGGACTTCATGTACATTTTGAAGACAGATACAACATTCTGGGAACAAAACAGCACAGGAATAGCAGCATACAAGCATATGTTCTCACCCACAAACCACTATATTTCCATACACAAATTTATCATTAAAAAGAAGGAGCAATGACAATAGGAATAGGCTTATTGAAATTCACATTTTCAGCCAGTAATTTTATACTCAGTATGCATCAGCCCTCTTACAATGCATACCTTTATACTTTAACCCTAAAACTGTGGAAGCGACACGCCTGCCCAAGTACCAGCCACATCATATTTTAACATATATTATTATTTTTCTAGTTCTGTATCACAAATAATTATTTTTATGTCTACTTATATATTGTCTATTTCGCCTATTTTTATGTCTATTCCAGGCACTATGATAAAATAGTGTTATAGGCAGAATCATAAATATTAACACTTCACATTTATGAGAATAAAAAGTATTTACATGACTACATGCACTTTGATCGTGTATTTGGTGCAGCGAGACTAATATGGAGGTCACTCTAGGTAAGAATGACAATTCTGCATCTGATGTTAATGACATCGGGACACTTCTGTTCCCTCCCCTCAACAGACAGTACTTGATTAAACTCACAGTTCAATGGCTTTATTCCACATGATGACATAGCCTGAGAGAGTAAATGATTCCACATTGACAATGTGAATGTTTCCTCTTTCGGTGCCCACATATAGCCATTTACTTTGGAAAGGCAGGTGACAAAATGTTATCCTGAAAGAGAAAGCCGTCAAAAAAGGAATTAAAGTCTTTTAGATATTCTACACTTCAAGGTCTATGCTGCCAAAAGGTAGAAGGAAAGGCAATAGGCAACCAGGAAGAAATAAGACAAGTCACAGGTAGAGAAAAGTAGCAAAGCCAGTACATGACAAAAGTAAGAGATGCATGGACAATGTAAAAAACTTAGAGTAAACAAAAAATAGAAACCAAGGTATTCTAAGACTATGAAGTCATTCAGAAAAAAAAATTCACATAGCCACCTTTGAAAGTTACCATATTGAAAGTTTTTGCTCAAGACGACTGTCATTTTAAACTTTAAATACAATACTCTTATGTTATAATCTATAAACCTCCATTTGAAATCTATGTAATTTCCAGTTTTAAAGAAGAAAGGATTTTTAGAAGTAGCCTTACACTGATTAAGCCAGTTTCAAGTGAGGAAACAAAGGCAGAAAATAAAGCATAAGAAACATCAGTTTACACGTAACCCAAAGTATCCTCTAAAAAGCAAACCTAAAACCAGTCCTAAACAATTATAAAAGTAATTTTTAAAATAGTTTAAATTTGGGTCTATAATTTTACTTAAACCATGTTCTAATCTTCTGCCTTACAGTCTTCTCTTCTGCTAGAAGGAAGCACCTGAACAAAACCCAAAAGCTCACGACTCTCTGTACCAGCACACAGCTGCTCTTTGAGCATAGCTCCTGTGCAAATATTAGTATTCGAAAGCTTGGTTATTTCTATCCTCTTGGGTCCTGCTTATGGTTTACTATTTCTTCAAAACTGATAAGGAAATAACATCTGCAGGAACTGCAGCTTCTAAGTATCTGATTTTTCTATACAATAGAAACACTAACTTGAAACTAAGAGTCTAGAAATGGTCAACTCTAAACCGTTTTAATCTGACAGGGTCCAATAGTGAAAGAAATTGCCTAACTACTTGGACTATCAAATGAGCTTTCAGAAAAGTTTCAGTGATAAGCTAAAAATAATTATTCCATGGAAATTTGTTCTGTCAGCTCTAATCCTTAGCTTTACAGATTTTTTTTTGTTCTTGTTTTCTCCCAGTTGGGCTCCCTTCTGGCTAAATCCATGCATCACTTTACAAGCCTGTCAATAATTATTTATGCAAAGAACAGCTTTAGATCCTTTGCATTAGATGCTGTATATACACGCTTAACTTCAGCACAACAGCAAAGGCTAACAGCAGCAATGAAAAAAAATTGCTAATGGCTGAAAAGATGTTAATTTGTATTACAGGTTTCAAAAGTTAAGGCTTCTGTAGTAATACCACCTGGATCAAAAGTATACCACTTTACTTTTTATATCGCTAATTTCTTCCTAGTTAGGGAATGCAGTTTGCTCAAGCAAATCCTTAGTTTATCCATTTTTAACTCCCTTGATTTCTTGTGCTTGAATATTTAAGCGAAAAGGCTGCACTAACTATTTTTTTATCGATGTTTCACAGGAACAGGATGATATACAAGATTTAAAATGCTCAATGAATGCCAATTCATTGAACTTATAAAGGCTGGAACATTTTTACTAACTACAGTAATCTACAAACACCACACATTAAAGACTCGAGTCTCCCCAACGTCCTTGAAAAAAATATTTTTTGTGAAGCTAAATCATACATCTGTACATGCACTTCCTAGGCAGACCCCAAAACTGTACTGCCCAGTCACAGAGCTCTCCCACTATGAGCAGGTCACGGAGAAGGGGAAGAGACACAGCATAACCCTCAGCACGCTGCACCACCACAGCTTCTTTTTGTGCCAGGACTCCACATGCCAAAAGCAGCTGGCAACCAGATCAGTTGGATCTAAAAATGTGGCCCAGCAGCCAGAAACAACATTCAGGAGCAGGGTCGTGGGCCTGTCAATCTGTGAAGTAATATTTTCAATCACAGTCGTCCAACACTTTCATTATCAAAACCAATCTATTTCATTTCATTTAAAGGTGGGAAAAAAAGTAAGTTGGGGCTGCAACTTTGATTGCTATAGCAAAAGGGCAACACTTAAAGTGTCCAACTCCTCAGTACTCTTGATACTCTTCTTAAATATGCAGTCATACTCAATTTGTCTCCTCTGTGCAAGTGAGATTAATGTACTGAGCTTCTCTCTCTTCAGTGATTAAGGCTTCACCTTAAATGACGTAGATTTTAAACACTGGAAATGTTACAGTCCTCTTAAAAACTAAAATTCAGTGAAGCTATGACCATCTGAAAGATCAGTGATGACAGATGACACACTAGCACGTCACCACACAGGCTACATTTGGTGGCCTTGCTTGCTCTGTTGAAAATTGGAGTAAGGATTAAAAGGGATTCAAACTTATTTTGGAGGATGGAAACAAAAGGTCAGGGTCTTCTTGGTGGTGAGGCAATACTTGCTTATTTGACACTTGACCAAGGACAGCATACATTTTTCTTCGGAAAAATGCAGATTTTTTTCTTTCAGAAACCTATCTTCCTGCCACCACAAGATTAGAATAATATATTCCATAACACATTTTAAGAGGAACAGAAGTGGAAGTTGCCACATAATGCTCTGGCTATTTCTACAACTCTCTCCCTACCCACAAATGGATACATATATAAACATGGAAAATACAATCAATTGTTGGGAACAGATCAAAAGACTACAGATACACTCAACCCAAGTAAAAATTTTTTGCAAGTCTCTTGCACACAAACCCCAACCGTCTGAAAACAGTATATCAGTAAAAAGCAGAATACCATACTCTTCCTTTCCTGTACCAAGTTATTCTGGCCAAAGATAGTGGAACAGAAGCATCTATGAAAAATAATAGACCAGTTCTGTGCATCTGAAGAGACAGCCTGGGACTGTCTGAGCCAGTGATCACAGAAAGCAGGCTTTTGCAGGCAGCTCTTTCATGGCACAACAGATTCCTCACATTATCTCCAAGGAAATTTCAGCTGCCTCAGGAAGTATAGTACATTTTGTGAAGCTGACTGAACTTTTAGCATAATGCAAGTATTGTGCACAGCACTTTATTCCAAATATTTACCTTTCCCATACCTGTACAAAGAAAAAAAACCTCTATAGAAAAAAGTTATGCTTTAAAGAGTCGGGTTTTTTTAATCTGAAATCTACAGTATGATTTTAATATATGCTAACATCACTGATAAAATGAGGTACTGCTACGCAACCCCAGTCAGGGTAGTTCGAAACTCTACTGTAGCTGTACTTTTCCCTAAGCACAAAATCTTCCTCCTTACTGCACACATTTGCAGGGTCACTCCTTCCCCTGTCACCCCCTTCTAAAAACACCACAAAAAAATTCACTTTCCTGTGAAATTAATTTGTAAGAGTTGAACCAATAGTTCAAGAAAGCAAAATTATATACAGAAAACCCAGTGGTACACTAGCAGTGGAATATATCGATAAAACCCTCACAAAATATTTCTTGTTCTTATTGTACTTAAAATATAATTTGTGCTATTGCTTATGGGAGAGTATTAGCAGTGACAGGTGAGTGTTTAACAAGCTGTTTAAACCTACTGAAAGGATTTCTTTGAACTGCAGACCATGTGTCTTTTCCGATAATCTTTCAAAGTTAGTTAAGAAAAATCTTAATTGTGGTTGATTCACAACGTATATCAAAGTAGTTATTATAGTAAGTGATAGTATTCCCTAAAGGAATTTAATTACAGAAATATCAAAGAATACAATTTATTAAATTAGCATGTAAGTTGAAGAATTAGGCTTTTAAGAGAAATATTAAGTAAAAGTGACAGGCTGTTATCTTGAATGTAATATTATGACAACAGAAATCCTTCTAAATTCATCTTTACCTTTTCTTAGTCTATTGCATTATGAAGTATTATATGTTCTTCAGAATTTTCCACTGCTTTAACAAAGCACAGTGACAAATACTTTGATGAATGACAAACACTGATAACAGGTTTTATTTTTAAGTCCCTAGAACTATTTCTCTAACCTCAGGCTATCATTATAGGTCTGCAGTTACTGTAATTACACTAGCTACTCAGATCATTATTATATATGCAAAATAAAAGTTTTCCAAGACAAGTGTTAAGCTACCAAAGTGGTATTCTGCATACCTCTATCTTCAGTCTTTCATGCATGAGATAGGCACCACGTAAAGTTCAGAAGATGAAAAGTTTAATTCTTATGTTAGTCTAGACGCCATGCCCATCGTCTCTTCTCAAGTCTTCAATGGACATAAAAAGGTGAAGAGCCAGTGCCAGAATGACATACTGATGGAAGCATGCAGTAGCTGTGATTTTGCCAGACTGCTGCAAGGGGCTTATTTCCAGATCTGGTAACTGCAATAAGCTTAAAACACCTACCTGTACGAAAAAGGCCTGAAGGGGCAGAAGGCACATGCAGAGGAAGAATTCCTCTTCAATGCATCCCAAAATTGTCCCCCCAAAAGACCATGCGGATAAATGCAGTATATCCTAGAAACTGGACCAGGTACTTCAATCCCATTAATATCCCATAACAGCACTCCAAACGATGCTTCCCCAAACACATGCACTCCAAGGGTTGCCTCTAAAGGCAGCTGGGAAGTACCCATGTTCAGTATCTGAGCTGTGGTGTGCACTAGTGGGGTCAGGATGGAGTAATGGGGAGGAAGATCCAAGAACAGAAATAAAATTGTCACCATCGATGCGATCAATACTAGAGCCATTTAGATAATGTTCCAGAAAATGGCTCAATTTTAGAGTTTTCTTAGGTTGCTGCAAGTATTTGTATTTCTACGATATAACATTCCTAATATATTTCATAGCTTACATGTTCTTTCCTTTATAGAGTCACATTTCACCTCTCCATTTTAAGATGGTTTTTCAAGCTTCAGTTGCACTTCACTCGGAAGGGGTCTCCATGTTTTTATTTACACACAAACAGAAAAGGGCTGCTTCACTGCTTGTAATGCTGACAAAAAAACCAATGCACATACACGTTTTGAGGTAACTGATTTGAAAACTAAGAAAATTTTTC